GGGCTCGATCCCAGGACCCTGGGATCATGACCTGAGCCGAAGGCAGACGCTTAACGACTGAGCCACCCAGGCGCCCCGAGAATTCTGTCCTTTGAAAAAAATTTTTTTTCAATATGGACACTTCCCTGAATTTGCTATTGGATATCAGATCTCTAGGCACCCCTCCATACACATGTGTGCACATGTGTGTACACATATATGAAATTTCAAAAACCTAGGGCGCCCCCACACGCAAACTCTACCTTGCTGCGTGCCCAGGTCTTGAAACCATCAAAAGAGCCCTTTTTCTACACGTGAATGGCCAAGTATCATCAGGGCCTTCGCTTTTCCTCCTCAAGACACCCTCACAGCCTGCACCACTCAGGCCTCTGCTCAAACATCACCTCCTTGGAGAGGCCTTCTCTGACCCCTTAAGACAGAACCTCTTGTCATTTGCTACCTCCTTTCCCAGCTCAACCATCCTTCTCACTACGTGACACCATTTTCCGTACAGTCATTTCTTTTCTGTCTCTACAACTAGAATGAAGTTGTTACTGGTCCACTATGTGACCTTAAACAGGTTAACTTCTATAAGGCTCAGTCTCCCCATCCAGTAAAATGGGTACAAGAACCCAAGCCTCATGGGATTACCGTAGAGATTCAAGGGAAGTGAACGAAAGCCCTGAATACATGTCCAGCGCATGCTCAATAAATGGCCCTTGCTATTATCAACCATCGTTATCATTAACTGTCATCCTCATTTAATAGACAGAAAACATGAATCCCAGCAAAGTAAAACAACACATGCAAGTTCACCCATTCTGTTCCGACTCCGATGCCCTGTTCTTCCCCAAGTCTCAATGCTACAACCAGCAAAACTTCGCTGTGGGCAAAGCAGGTCACTGTAAACGTGGCCAAAGGATTCTGCCCAAAGGGAAAGATTGTGTAAAGGCACCGCGTGGCCTATAATTACCAGCTGGAGAACTGAATTATCACCTTCACGTGTAATTCTCTTCCCATTCAGGCATAAAAGTGTCACAGAATCCTGTGCCAGGAAGAAAGGTTAATAATCAACACAGACTCTCATAAATCGTACAGGCTCCTCGGTGGCTGTGAAAGTACAGGTATTTGAACTGGCCAGGCCAGAGAGGAGAGGGGCCCTGCACCTCAGACAAGACTTCTACTTCTACTCTAGGCCTTCATATCCTGGTTTGCAGAACAAGAGATTGAACCTAGACATCAGGAGGCCCTTAGCGAGGACAGCCTACTCTTCCAGCAGACGGCATCCATGCGCCCCCTCGCAGGGATGCTCACACTTGGATCAAGAGACAGAAGGAGCGGGGCAGGGTGGGCAGAAGTTAGGGCCCCACTGCACCTGGCTGTCCCAGAGGCTCAGGGGTCATCATGTTCAGTCATACTGACACTGCGGGAATGGAGAGCCAGGTGAGGTCCCCAGATCCAGGCACTAGGGACTCCCAGAGGGTAACCTGCAGGTGGGTTGAGGGACGCCAAATCCCTGCAGTAGACAGAAGCCGAAGAGTACCTGGGGTGCTGACTGCAGAGGGAATTAGGCAGCCGGCAAACACAAGCCCCTCCAAGGTCCAAATAGAGGAGGTTACATGTACGTTGGGGGGCAGGGCCGAGTAGTGCCCGTCTTACATGTGGACCTGATTTTGTCCTTCCCTGACCTTCACTAACTGTCCACTGCTAGGTAAGAAGAGAATAAATATCCTACTCCTAACCCAGCTTTCAAACACCTCCTTGATCTGACCCAGAGAGGCTTCACAGCCTCCTGTATCACCCGAGGTATACTATTTCTAGTGTCCTCACCAGCCAAGTTTCCTACAAGCAGGCCCTCCTTCTACTTCTGTGTTCATCGGTGACCTGTCCCCCTTGGGGCTCTTCATTCCCTCTACCATGCTCACTGCAGTTGTCTGAGCACCTGCCTTCCCCACAGACCGGTGGCCACCTAGGGCACAGTGTGGGATTTCTCCCCACATCTCTCTCTCCCCAGCCTGGGCTGTGTACCAGTTGTACCTACCCAGGGATGATCTGCAGAGTAAACTGGTAAATGGACAAGCAAACAGTCATTGCGAGTTGCTTTCCCAGTTTCCACACTCCTCTCTTCCTTAGAGGAAGGACCACATTTTATTAGGATAGGTAAGTGTCCAGCTAAAATATTTCCCAGCCTCTTTTGAAGATAGGTGTGCCCAATGGATTAAGTTCTGGCCAATGAGATGCAGGTAGAAACTGTTCCTTTAAACTTCTGACAAGGTTACTAGAAGAAACTAACTCAGCTGGGAGGAGAGCTCTTTCCCCTTCTAGCTACGTTGGAATGCAGATGTGATGGCTGGAGCTCCAGCAGCCATTTTAGACTATAAGGCAAACTTGAGGATGAAAGCCACATATTAGAATGGTGAAAGATAGAAACCTGGGTCCCTGATGACTACGAGCTGCCACACTAGCCCCATGTGAAGGCTCTCATGTGAAAGAGAAATAAACCCTCTATTGGCTAAGCTATTGTTTTAGATTTTGTTATGTGTCAATAAACCTGATCTTAACAGTTATCAAGACAGAAGAAAGATAAAAGAAAACACCTATATCCTTCTCCTATAATGTGTCCAGTTAGGAAGCCTTGATTGGGGACATGTCTATATTATCTTCACCCTTAATCCCACCTTGGGACAGTGAGCTCAGTCAGTGGCCTCTGATATTTCAGCCACACACCCTAGATAAATAGGGTGTCTGGTCATTTGGAGCAAGCACCAAGGAAGAGCCCTGAAGAACCTCCTCCCCGGGGTCCAAGGGAAACTCCACCTTAGGCTACGGCAGGGGTTCCTCAAGAATGCTGCCAATCCGGGGCGCCTGGGTGGCTCAGTCGTTAAGCGTCTGCCTTCGGCTCGGGTCGTGATCCCAGGGTCCTGGGATGGAGCCCCGCATCGGGCTCCCTGCTCGGCAGGAGGCCTGCTTCTCCCTCTCCCACTCCCCCTGCTTGTGTTCCCTCTCTCGCTGTCTCTCTCTCTGTCAAATAAATAAAATCTTGAAAGGAAAAAAAAAAAGAATGCTGCCAATCCTCTCGAACCCTGTTCTCTGAGCCCTATCACTGCTTCCTGATGAGGAAGGGGATCCTGACTTCCTAATTTTAAACTGCCATCCTCCCTTCTTTACCCTCCCTATTACCCTCTCCTACTTCACTTTTTCCATGGTAAGCACTGGTCTATTACCGTCTGTCTCTACCTCTGTTTCTACCAGCATGTCCACTCATGAGGACAAAAATTTCTCTGTGTTTTCTGCACTGATGTATGCCTAAGGTTTAGAGCAAGGACTGGTGCAGAAAAGGTGTTCATATAGATTTTGGTGGTGGTGTGGGGGGGGAGAGGTCAGGAGATGTTGGTTTCCGTCCTGGCTGGTAAGCCTGGACACATCTGCCCACTCACTGATTCTAAATAAAACAACCCTTCTCAAAAAATGTGCACTTCCAGGTATTTAACCAAAGGAAATGAAAACACTAACTCAAAAAGATATTTGCACTCCCCTGTTCATTGTAGCATTATTTACAATAGCCAAGACATGGAAATAACTTAAGTGTTCAGTGACAGATGAATGGATGAAGATGTGATACACACACATACACAGGAATATTATTCAACCATAAAAAAGGATATCCTACCATTTGCAACACCATGGATGGACCTTGAGGGCAGTGTGCTAAGTGAGATAAGTCAGACAGAGAAAGACAAATACTGTATGATCTCACTGTAATCTAAAAGAGAAAAAGAGCTCACAGATACAGAGAACAGATTGGCGGTTGCTGGAGAGGGGCATGGGGCAGCAAATGGGTGAAGGGAGTCAAAAGGTACAAACTTCCAGTTATAAAATACATAACTCATGGAGATGCTGTGTACCGCATGGTGACTAGAGTTAATAATACCGTGTTGCATATTTGCAAGTCGCTAAGAGTAGATCTGAAAAGTTCTCATCTCAAGAAAAAGATCTGGCACTACGAATGGTGATGAATATTAACTAGACTTACTGTGGTGACCATTTCACAATGTATACAAATATGAATCATTGCATTGTACACCTGAAACTAATATAATGTTACATGTCAATTATACCTCAATGAAAAAAAACATAAAACCAACCCTTGGTGGTTGTCTGTTCTGTATCCGGCACTATGCTTGGGGCTAGGGGTTCAGAGGTAAAAGGCTCTAACCTCACTGACCCTGCTTCCAATGCGTGAGGGGGGAAGAAAACCTGTTACCACAAACCAAGGGGACCAGAGCTGTCCTAGAGACTGACGCTGGGCGTCAGAGAAAGGCGGCCCTGATTGGTCCAGCCTGGAAGCTGGCGGAAGGCCCCCCCCAGGACAACCCTTTCACCCTCCCCTTCAGGAGGAGCCAACTCACCCTCCCTGAGCCTATTAGAGGCAGGGTTCTCATTAGGTCTGCCATCCTGTGATGGGGCAGCTGCTGTGTAAACCCTCCCAGACCTTGGGAGGAGGTCTGGTTCTCTTTTATCCTCATTTTAGTAACTAACCCTACTGAGCACTCACTACCTTCCAGGCACTGTTCTAAGTCCATTTCATTCATTAGCTCAGTTTCTCCTCACCACAACCCTACAGTTTAGGTGTTGTATTAGCCTCATTTTACAGGCAGGGAAATGGGAGGCCCAGAAAATTAAGTTACCCAATGCCACAGAGTTGGTGTCGGACCTGGATTCAAACTGGGGAGTCAGTGTCAAAGCCAAGGCAGTGAGCTCTGAGCTGCAGAGGCTTTAGCTGCCTCTGGGCCACAGATGGATGAAGGGGCACTCACATACCAGCTGGTTGCCTGATGGCAGGCAGACAGCAAAATCCAGACCTGACCCGCGTCTCCCAGACCCCAGAATCTGCACCACATGCCATCCTAGGGTTCCATGGAGACCCGGCAGGACAGCTCTGGAGTGGACCAGAAGCCCTCCTGTCTAGATCTCTACAGAGAGCATGTCATCCACACACAGCAATCACTGTCTGCCATCAGGAAGGCTCTGCTCCTTCAACCTCCTTCCTGAATCCAGACAAGAGGGAGCAGAAACTATTCCAAAAGCTTTTCCGACCAGTCGGGGTTTTAACACAAATTTGCCAAAGCAAATGAATTACTGGCATCAGGGGAGGAGGCGGAGGGCAGGGACCCCACACTCACCTTGAGGGGCAGGTAGGCAGCGATGGTGATCCGGGCACTCAGGTAGATGTGGCCATGTCTGTAGCTCACGAGGAGTGTGGTGTAGCCCTGGACCTCCGCTCTCACCTTGACCCCACTGCAGTGCTCAGATCCTGGCTGCAGCCTCCCTGTAAGAAGAGGGCCAAACGGTCACCGTGAACTTGCCTTTGCTCGGAAAAACATGACAGGTTGACAGCCCCTCCTTCATCCTGGGCTTGGTACACAATCTAATTTTTTCATAACTTAAAAATTTGAAGTATAAGTCCCATACTAAAAATACACATAGCATAAGCAAATAATTCACAGTGATTTTTTTTTCCTTCCACAAACTGAACACACCCTGTATCTAGGATCAAAAAACACGATGACCTGTATCCCTGAATCTCCCACAGATCTTTCTGGTCACTAGTCCTCCCCAAAGGAAAACCACCGTTACCTGACTTCTCACCACCAGCTTAATTTTGCTGGCTGCCATATTTTATACGTAGTGAATCACCAAGCATAAACTCCTTTGTGTCTGCCCTCTTAAGCTCAGTATTGGTGGTGAGAGCCCTCCTTATATCTTTTATCCACATTTGTAGTATGATTGCATTGTGTGACTAAACAGCTGCTGATGTCCCCACGCTACTGCAAACATCTGGGTTGTTTGCAGCGTGGGGCTCTGACACAGGGTGCTGCTATGAACGTGCATGCGTGCGTGTTTTCCGGGATGGATATATTCCAGCATTTCTGTTGTGTGTATCCCTAAGAGTGCGGTATGTTTGCCTCCAGTCCTTACTGCCAGGGCAATGGGTATGTTCGCTTTTCATCATTATTGCCAAGTATCTTCCCCAAATGGATGCATCAAGTCATACTGCTACTAGAAGCTACATAGCATCCCCACCAATACTCGGTATTTTCCACGAGTTTTAAAAAAGCCATTCTAGTGGGAGGATAGTGGTATCTTACTGTTTTCTTTCCAAACATTTAGAAAAAAATTCTACCGTGAAACTCCACACACCCATCCCCTAGATTCTACGATGAACATTTTGCTGTATTTCTCTTACTACATATCAATCCATCCCCCTACCCACCCATCACCTGATCTTAGTTTTTAATGCATTTAAAAGTAAGTTGCAGCTTCAGCATACTTCATTCGAAATGCTTTAGATACGCATAATCATCTCCAGTTCAAAACTCCTTCCTGGTTTTTTTTTTTAAGGTCAGATTTACACAGATCTTAAGTGGGCCATGCCATGAGCTCAGACAAAAGCATCCACCCGCGAAACCCGAACCTCTACCAAGATGCGGGACACACCTGCCCCTATGGTTCCCTCCCACTCCTTCTCGGGCGATCCCCCCACTTCAGAAGCCATCACTATGGCATTCCGATTTTTTTCCACCATAGTTTAGTTTTGCTTTTTAAATAATAGTTTCATTGAACTATAACTCACGTACCACAGAATCACCCATTTAGAAGGCACTCATAATTCAGTGGTTTTTAGCATACTCACAGAATTGTGTAGCTATCACCACTAATTTTAGAATATCTCATCTCCTAAAAAAGAAACTCCCCATCCATGACCAGTCACTCTCCATGTAGATCAGTCAGCCTCACACTGCACATCAATGAAGGGGGCTCTTCACATCTGGCTGGTTTCATGCAGCATGTTTTTGAAATCCATCTATGCTCTGGCATGATCAATAGTTGGTTCTTCTTTATTGCTGAGTCTTCCATTACAAAGGTGTTCCACAGTCTGCTCATCCATTCACCAGCTGATGAGCATTGGGGTTGTTTCCAGGCTGGAGCGACCAAGGAGCAGAGCCTGCAGTGCCCTGAGCAGAAATCCCTACATCGCCAGAAAGGGTGTGCTATGGAGTCCATGCGCAGAGACCAGGAGCTCCGGAAAACTGCAACTCTGCCAAATGGGCCGATTTGTGTTCACAAGTACACACAGCAGACAGGGAAATGCTAGGTCTGAGTGCGGACCCTGCCGGCAGTGAGTCTGGGCAAATGCTTTTCTGGACACGGCCCCAAATTATGAGCCAGGACGCCAGGTCCTCTGCATAGCTGGGAAAAGGGTGCTGGAGAAAGGGGGTCCTGACGCACGGCAGAGGAGCCTCCTGAGCATGATGCCCTCTGCCTCCCACCCCAGCCTGCCTGGTGGGAAGACTCAGTGCTCCCCGAGTAGCAGGCTCTCCCCATCCTGCGGCCTCCGCCCTGGCAACGAGAGATCCACCTGCACGGACCTGGGGCCGAACTTGAAACATGCCACCCCCTCTGTGGTCTCTGGCTCCTGACATACTCTTCCCGCTCCTCAGGACACTCCCAATTTGTCCACTCTCATCCTTCGGGTGCAGCTCTCATTTCCTCTAAGCAGCCTTCCCAGGCACCCCCAAACTGGCTTAGGCACCCATTTTCTGCACATTTCTGCTGGGGAATATGTTCGGACATTTCTCCTGGGGACATGCCCAGGAGTGGGACAGAGCTGCCGGGACCTGTGCTCACCCACAGGCGCACTCCATCCCAGGCACCATAACTGCCCGTGGAAGCATGGGTCTTGCTCGGCTGTGTGGGCCATGAAGGCGACACCACGCCTCTCGTGTTTACCAGGAACCCCCAGAGCACAGCACTTACTAGGTGCCCAGTGAACAGGTTGCTGAGAACCAGCCAAGGCTGGGAGCAGAGAAGGGGCCAGGGCAGAGCAAGAGGTGAGGTGTCACCACCCTGGGCACTGAACCTAGCCAAGCCTGAAGCCCTGGGGCTCCAGAAGAGGCTCCATCAGAGGCTCCCAGTGGTGCCTACAGCCCCAGGACTTTCAGGGGGGCTTCAATGATGAGGACAAGGAAGAAATGGGACCCTAGCAGCCAACTCCAATAGGAACAGGGTGGAGCTCCAAACTGACCCAGAGGGTGTTAGGGGCCTGGGGCCGCCCCTTCCTAAGAATTGGGACCTGAGTCCCATCACGTGTCTTTTCACCCTTGGGCAATCTTACCTGGGAAAGAGACTGAGACAGAGAAGGAAACCTAACGTGGGGACCCCCTCTGGCCCCAAGCGTCTGTTCCATGAGTCTCCTGTGCCCCAGACAGATGTCACCCAATCTGCTGGCCCCACCTGGTCTCTAGTCCCACAGATTTCCATGACACCAGCATTGCTCTGCCCAGACGAAGCTCCAGATTGTAAGATACATAGTTCTCATACAACCGAGACCCTACACACAGGCTTCAAAAAGCCACATCAACTCTACACTGAGGGACATTTAAGGGGCTTTGTAAGGGAAATTTTGATGCCACAGGATTTTGGTCTCACCTGCCATCTTCAGAACCAAACTCCTTGAAAAATGCTTTTGCACTGGGCTGAGGGATGTTCATTTGTAACCCTCACAGCCAAGTGAGGAGCTAGTATCCCCGTTTTATACATGGAAAAGTCGAGGCTCAGAGAGGCTGGGCAACTTGTCCACCATCACCCAGCCAATATACGGAAGAAGCGGTGCTCAGACCCGTAGCTGTGGAGCTCCCAACCCTGTCCTTCATGCCCAGGACCTCCTGGGCGCTGACCCAGTGCCTGGGGCCACAGCCTGCAGACTCTCCTCCCAGCCATCAGCAGGCTCCTCTCCCTCACGCTGATGTCTTCCTCCATCCTAAATGGTGGCTTCAATGAGGACACTTAAATTTTCATAAAGCTGTTCCTCCTGGGTGGTCAGAGAGGCACAGCAGCACCGGCCAAGGAAGGACGTGAACGCGGTTTGCTCGGTGACCTTTCAGAGATGCCGTCCCCTTCCTCTGCGCAGCTTCGGGTTCACACAGACCACGAGTAACCACAAGTACAGTGGGGACACGCGAAGCCGCCTGGCACCGCAGGCAATCCCTACAAACACCTCTGCCAATTGAGCTTCTTAAAGCCGTCAGATCGAGTGCTCTGCTCAACAACCGACAGTTGCTCCCCACTGCCTGGACCCTGAATCCAAGCCCTTCGTGATTCATGATTTGACACGTTCCAATCCCAGGGCCACTGTATGTGCCCGTGCCCCATGGACGTGCCCACCTCTGGGCCCTGACCACAGAGACCCTGCCCACCTGTCACTTCTAACCCCTGCCCAAACCTTCTTCCTCCCTCAATGGATCATTAGTCCTTGGTTTTCTCTATCTGCAGAGGAACCCCCCGGCTGCCCCTGGCTGGCTCCCCTGGGAGGCACAGTTTCTCAGGGGATAAAAGGCTTCATGGTCAGGGTCAGATCCACCCACGTCTCTACCCCATCCGACCTCTGCCCTTGTGTGACCTTGGGCAGCAGGCAGCCCCAGTCTCTTCATATGACATGTGGCCCAACCACAGCTTCCTGTCCGCCCCCCTGCCGGAAGTCTAATGAGTCACACACACCGAGTGCTCACTCCGCACCTGGCAGGGTTGACATCCCTTAAACTAACTGCCACGGCCACCGTCACCACCGATACCACCACTAAGACCCTGCAGGGCATGCCCAAGAGGAAAGAGCAATGTGCACAGCTTGGACTGCTCAGGGCGTTGGAACACCAAAGTGTCAGGATTCTGTCACCAGCTAAAATCCCTATGGACAGTGTATTGTGAGCACCTACTACCTTCTAGACAGTGTAATGGGCATGAGGACATGCAATTCTATTTAGGATGACACCCATTTTAGAGATGGGTGGTTCTGAAAGTCCAGTGACAAGGCAGGTCACACGGTGGTCAGGAGCCAGACAGGACCATTGTTGAGGGTGGACGAAGGGATAGATGCCATTCCTGATGCTGTAACGCTCCCCTATTGCCTCAAGCCCTCCATTTAGGAATCTGGGGCAGCCCATGTTGAGAACTTATGCAGTCTGGCCTGATCCCCCATCTGGTGCCCACTCATTAGTGCTGGTTTACCTGGGAGTGGCTGGAATACGCCTTGGTTCTCCACCTCGATCACCAAGTCAAAATGGGAACAGTCGCTCAGGGTGACCACCTCGTTGGCCCCACCAGGAATGAGGCCATTGATCCTCAGGGGCAGCTCCAAGGTCTGGCCCACACGTGCCTCCACCTGGCACGGGGCGAACTCCATGCTGCTGGGCTCGATCACATATACCTGGAGGACAGGGGTGTGGATGGGGGTCATCAGGCTCCACGGGAGAGGAAGAGCCTGCGCCAGTATTTACTGAGGGCTGCCGTGCACTGGGTCCTGAGGACAAGTCAGTGAGAAAACTGAGCTCAGGGGACATGTGCTGGGGCCTGGAGTGAGTTCAGGGACAGAGCTGTCCGGGAAGGCCCCTTTGATATGGTGACACAGGAGCTCAGTCCTGAGAGGCATGTCAGAGGCAGCCAGACAGAAGCGTGGGGGAAAAATGTAGGAAGAAGACACAGTGTGTGCAAAGGTCCTGAGCCACGTACCAGCCCAGCTTGCTGGAGGAATATAAAGAAGGCCACGGTACTGGGTGAGAGGTGTCATCACTCACAGCTAACACTTCTATAAAACAATACTTTCCACACTCCAGGTTCTGTTCTAAAAACAGTGCTAAATTCAATCCCCTGAGCCTGTTTGTTAAGGAGATTGTGTTAGTAACCTCCACCTGATGAAGAACCTGGCACAGGAGTTTAAGGGACTTGCCCAAGCACAGTGGAGACTGGACTGGGCAGCCTGGCCCCAGAAACCAGACTGTAACCATTACACACACTGTATCTCAAGGAACTGCTCTCAGACTTCTGACTGAGCAATTGGGTGAAAGGTTGCACATTTACTGAGATAAAGAAGCTTGGAGGGAGGCAAGATGGTCATAGTTCATCCACATATTTGGCAATTATGCTGTAGCTAAAGGGTCTCAGTTATGACTCTTTTTATATCAGAATGAGATCAATCTTTAGACGGGTGTGTGTGTGTGTCTATGTGGATCCAAATAAAAAGACTAGAACAACCATGCCCCAAAAAACATAAGAGCAGGTTGGGATTGGACACACTGCGTATGGAGCTTTGACTTCTGCCCTAAATGGAGGAATAATGGCAGGCTGAGGTCAGGGTCAAGAAGTCAGGAGGCCGAGGCAGGGTGGGCAGAAGCTCAGCTGCAGATGACCACTCCCACCCGAGGCCTTTGCTCAGCGAGTTGGTCCTGCGTCACCTGGAGTCAAGAGCCAGGTGTCGGGCCCCAGTACAGGGAAAGGAAAGGAGTCAGACCCAGGTCTTGTAGAGTTTGGGGCCTCCCTTTCACTGTGAATTTACCAACACTCAGTGGCCCTTCCAATTCAGACATTCAGACCTTTCAGGTCTGAGTTTTCTAGAATGACTCCTTTGAGTATCTCATGTCTTCTGTGTCCTCTGATCTTCCTTCCACAAATTCCTACTTTGCTGACCCTGGCCCTTCTGGGTCCCATCCCCTGCCTGGTGGGGGATGTCACGTCCATCCCACTGCCCGCCACCAACACCAAGTACAAGCCTGAGGGCTGGATGTGAGGAGGCGGCTAGAGACCGCCAGTCTGAGCCTCCGGGCCCCTGAGGTCTCACCTTCATTTCCCCGAAATGTAGCGGGTTCTGCACGTCATGTGCCTGGATCACACTGAGACCGGTATCACTGCCTGTGGTCATCACACCCTTGACGGTGACCGTGGCAACCACGTAGCTTGATGAAGACCAGCTGAAGTTCCCACTCCCACCATGGGCCTGGAGAGGAAAACCATCAGATCAGTCCACCTGCCTGGTCTTTCTGTCCATCCTTCTGTCTCACTCTCTGACTCGCATGGTCAGCGGCCTCCCACTCCACGGGCTGACATCTGGCTGGAGACCACCTCCCCACCTCGCTCTCTCCACCCTGCCTCGTTTCTCTTCCTCATATTCTGGGGGCCTTGTGGCTGACACCCACTGATGCCCCTAACAGTGGCCCCAGACCTGGGAGCACCTACAGACTGGACCGGGAGGACCCTGGGCCACAGAGTCAGGTGCAGGAAGCTGCTTCCCTGCCCAGACGCAACACTCCCTCCCGGCACACACCCCAGCCGCTCCTGGTGATCCTCCATGGAGTAGAGACAGTCCAGCGGCTTCCCAGGTCAGGGGCCATCACCCCGGAGCCTGAGAGAGGCCCAGGAAGGGGACACACAGGTAGCGGGTCCCAGTGACAGGCATCACTCTTCCAGGGAGGCAGCGGGGACTGATGGGGACTCTAATGGCCAGAGGGGCTCAAGCCCCCATGGGAGTCAGTCCTGCCAACGAAGGCCAGACGGGCACGTGAATATCAGAAAGCAAGAACACTTGATAGGTGACAGAGTTAGAGATGTTTTTCCCTTGAATTTCACATTTTTCTTCAGGGATAGTTACGCTACTTGTAGAAAACAATCATTTTTTTTTTACGAAAACAAATGCAGGTGGAATTTAAAGCTGTATTCCAGGTTTTCTTTATCATGCTTTCGTTTCTGTTTTTCAGGTTTTTTTTTTTTTCTGATTACCAAAATACAGTGCTGTGCTAGAAACCCCAGAAAATATAAAAAGCATAAAACTCCCCGATTTTAAATTCTCTCCAACCACTAAAAGGTAAGATTAAAAGAAACGGGATAGGTGAAGAGCCCCGATCCCATGGAAATACCCAAAGGAATGCACCCAGACGTGGGGTGTCACGGTTACCTTTATTGTGTACTGATAGGCGCCCGTCTTTGGTTGCCACGGAAACGTCAAGATGCTCGGATAGAGGGTGATGGGGACGTGAATTTCTACCTCCTGCTGGTTCCACACAGGCACCCGTAATGTGTGGACCCCTCCATCCTACAAGGGGGTGAGGGCGCCGCACGTCACCATAACAACCAGGTCATCAGCGGTTTTCCCAGTCAAGCAGACCCCCGCCCCTTCCCGGAGATGAGGTCACGAAGATTCTGTGATCACCGGGGAGCAGGAAGGAAGATGCTAAATGCCCTGCAGCCTTCTCCGTCTCCATGGAGACAGCTTTCTATGGTTCTGTAACAGCCACTCAAGTAAAAGCTGCTTGACTTCATCCTCAAAGCACCCCAGATGGGATGATGTAGTTACCCCACCTTACAGATGGGGAAACTGAGGCATGGGGCACAGCAGCAACTTTGCCCAAAGCCCCCAGAGCTGAAGTGACAGACAGGCAGGAATTGCTGTCTGCCCCACAGGCCATTTTTTCTGCTGCCTCCTAAGGGGCCGGGACAGGTTTTGTGCAGGGTAGGAAGATGAGAACACCCATGCCGATGTTCCAATCAGTAAAAAGACTGCTCACACCTATAACTGGCCTTTTTAAATAAAGGGGGAAAATGAAAAGACTTTAAAGGACCCAGGAGGTAAAATAGCCAGAGGGATGCTCATGGCTCAGGGAAACAGCACAGCTAGACACCCGGGCCCAACACCACTTCCCGAACAGGGTTTCCGCCCCAACCCCAGAAGGGCACGCTCACCTTTACAGAGGCTGGCAAAGGGCAAAGGAGGAGGGGCACCCCGCGTGGACACAGGGACAGGGAAAGCCCAAAGCTCCACCACCAGACATCTCCCATGAGTCCAGATGGGAGGCAACCCCCACAGTACCCACGAGAGCAGTGCACCAGGCTGAAGTTGGGGTCCCTGCCCCCCCGGGGCTCACGTCCAGCCTGGGAGGGTGCAGGGGGGCAGACAGAGGGAGGTACTGACTTGCCTGGTCTACCACAGAGGTGAGGGCTGCCTCGATGGCTGTCTGGCCGCGCTTTGTTGCCCTGACGTGATGGTACGACCCATTCTGGGAAGAAGCGAGCACCTCAAAGAACTCAGGAGGCAGCACAGTTTCGATGCGAATGTTCTGGAAGGGAGGCAGGTTGGGTGAGAGAGGTGTTTCTGGGATGAGTCAGGAAGTCAGAATGCAGGAAAGGAGCAATGTGACCCACAAAGAGCAGCCAGGCCAGGCCACGGGGCCGCCCAAGGCCCAGAGGCCTCCAAAACCAGCAGACGAGCTGGACGAGGCCCTAGAACTGGGTTCTGATCCCTCCGGCCTTTGACCCCCTCCCAGGACACCACACTCCCCGCACGGCCCGATGACCCAGCGCTCCTCAGGGGAGCCTAAGGCCTACTATAGTCGGGTTTCTCAGACCCTGAGGTCCCAACAAGGAAACCACCAAACACAAAAAAAGGTCATCGGTATCTGTCAGAGCTTTCTTCCCCAAAAAATGGTGATCGACAGTCTTTGTTCAATAACACGAGGAAAGCGATGACCTGCAAAGCTGCCCCCGGGGGAATGCTGCCTCCTTCTTCTAAAACCTCAGAGGCCACTAGGAAGGTCCCAGGCGTTCCAACTGATGATCCTGGGAACCTCTCACGAAGGACCAAAACCTGCCGAGACTCCTCTCCCTCTGTCTGTGTCTGCCATTTCTTTCTACAGCCAGAAAGCTAACTGAGGTTGGCCTAGGTCACCTGGGCCTTCCGGACAGTTACCGGTACTCCTGGCCCTGCAGGGAAAGGTCAGGGAGTGCTCCCTGCTCCTCTGTAGAGCAGGAAGAGACGGATTCTCAGCACCATGAAGTCTCAGGCTATGACAAGTGAGCAGGAAGGCAGCAGGCGGACGCTGCTCCCCCATCACCGCCTTCTGGAACCGAGCTGCCTGCGGCCCCCTCTCCCCACTCCAGCCCTGCAGGGGTAGGGCTGGGGGGCACAGACTCACAGGTTCACAAAGTCCTGAGAGGCCCCAGAGATGTCACAGTGCTGTCTCTCATGGACCCAGAAACACCACTAGGAATCAATAACTCAGCTTGCCTGCATGGGGGCCCTGCGGCTTTGGGGGGCCGCTTCAGGAGGCACATCCCACACTGACACCCCACTGGGACCCAAGGTAGGCACTCACGTCTGAGAGGTAGACCTTGTTGCCGGACTTGTCAAGCACTTCGATGGTGATTTCATATAAGCGGCCAGTCTCCAGCACCCACCTGTCACCGGGGTGGACTGTGAACCCTACAAAACGGCAAGCAACAAAGCCTGACCACTCGGGCCACACGGCCATGCTGCTGAGGAAGGGGATGGCACCAGGCACACCTGGAGGACCCCACAATGGCTCACTTGCACTCCCCCGAGGAGAAAGAACGGCTGCTAAGCACAGTGAGATCTAATGCCCACCATCAGCCCTGAGCCCGCAGAAGCTGGGGTGAGCTCTCAGCTTCCCCAGCATCACCCTGAGCATATCCCACACTGACTGCTCCCGGCCTCTTTCAAACTTGAACCTGTCCACTGAAGGTCTAGACTCTGAATCCACAGTAGTTGTATGAACCAAATCCACAGCAGGTCTGCACTCTGAATGCACAGTGAGTCTACATCTGAATCCATAACCCTCTGAATCCACAGCAGGTCTGCATTCTGAATGCACAGTGAGTCTACATCTGAATCCATAACCCTCTGAATCCACAGCAGGTCTGCACTCTGAATCCACAGTAAGTAGAGCTCTGAATCCACAGTAGGTCTTGGCTCTGAGGCCTGGCACTGAGCATTCTATCCGTGTGAGCAGCCCTCCCTCCCAGGCCTCCCCACACACGATGCGCACGGGCTGCTCGCTGACCCCCGTGAGGCCATGCACTCTCTCACCACACCCTCCCCCAAACTGTTACCTCCGCCAGGCCGACCTACCTACAAAGGAGCAGCTTCTGGGAAATGCCTGCCTCAACCCTCATCTCCCAGAAGCCGTTCTTCGGCACTCACCTTGACTAACTCTCTACCACTGTCCTGTCACCATCTGTTTACACTGCTCTCTCTCTGCAAAACCAAGCACAAGGACCTAAGCTTCCTTCCTCCAGAACTCTAGGCCCAGCACAGGCCAGACAGAGGGAAGGTACCAAGAAAGCCTTTCTGAATAAATGAAGCTCCTAAGACACACCTGCCTGGTGTTACCACATTGTCAGCTCGGGTCTGCACCAATCAGCAAGCTCACGTGGCGGCTAACAGGAGGACCTAGGGGTTTGCTGCATGTCGGTCAAATGTTCTCTCGCCTGAACCAATTCAGTACACCCAACAGGTGCGTCAACTCGGAGCAAACTCAAAGGGAGCATCATCTCTATGACCTGGGGTGACACTTGTGTCCTGGACATCTCTCAAGCATTCATCAATTATGGCAGCTCCTGGGCCTCCAGGAGCTCCACCCCCACGGGGCCTCCATGACCGCCGAGTCCTCCCTTCCTCTCTTGGGTCAAATGCCTCCCCTTCCTCCCCACTGAGACTTTTACCAAGTGTCTCCTTGCTTTAGGGGCTCCTTTGTCACTGAGCTGACCGACCTCCAAATGTCCACAGGTTTGGACAGAGCTCTGGTACAGAAACCAGGAGGAGACAAAGCCCTCCAGACTCTACCCAAACACTTCTCAGCCTCTGGAGCTGCCCACCTACGTTGACCTTGGCCTACCCTCTGCTTGTTTCTGTGCATCAATGCAGGGAGGACTGGGGAGCAGCCCTGGCATGAGCTGGCTGAGCTGGCCAGCGTGAAGCATTTTCTGGGGAGCTGTTGTTGCCTTTATTTTTTTAACTCCTGTCAGTAGCACCTGGGAGGACCCAGGGTGACCAAACTTACCCAGGTATCCAGGTTCAACCACGTAGATGGTGCTATTGGGTAACCTGGAAGCACCCTGCATGCGGATACCTGAATTCTTACTTAAGGAACAAAACACAAGGAGAACAGAGCAAGTGGCAGGATTCAGCTCACATGTGTAGGAGAGAGGATGAAAACCCCCTTGTGTGAGAACAAGTAGAACAAAGCCACATTCCAGAATCAGAGGCCACACCATGCTTCCTACACTAGCAGAGTAGTCTCTGCTAGGGACACTGTCCCTCCCTCTGCAAGGGACACTGGAGACTACATGAACAAGGCTAGGACAGGGCCAACCCACACGCTGGTTTGGAAACAGCCTTGCCCAGGACCCTCGGATGGGGCTGCCCGTGCCAGGAAGGTTCTGGAGGCGAGGAGTGAGGCTCTGCTCCTGCCACCACCTCCCATCCCGGAGCCTCTCCTGTAAGTCACCCACAGAGGTGAGCGTTCCACACAGCCGTGTTGCTATTTCGGTTCTTTCCAATTTTCAGACCTTGAGGGAAAACAGTTATTTTTAGCCTCGCCAAGCTTTCGGGGAGAAAAATGACTTCCAAACAGCAGATCTCCTGTGCAGGACATGCTTATGTACTTGCAGACAGGCCGGGGAAAGGATATTCCTGTGGCTCAGGACCAGGCTGCTCTGTCCCAGCTGCACAGCGGTGACCATCGATGTGTCCTGGTCCAAGACAGCCACGGGTCGGCCCGCATCTCCCTCGGGGCTCGAGATGCTGTTCTGAAGCTGGAGCTCATACTGCTCAGAAGGCATTGACAGCTCTGGCCACCCAGAATAAAAAAAAAACAAAGTGGGGGAGACAAGAGCAAAGACAGGAAACATTAGAAACCCATATATCCGCCCCACCCCAAATCCCTGGACCCGGCTTTCAATATGACTGCTTGATTTCTCTTTCTTTCTTCTTTTTTTTTTGCTTAGTTTCTTCAACACTTTTTTTTAATTCCGCTATAGTTAATATACAGTGTTATAATTTTCTCAACACTTTAAAATTTAACATTATTCTTTGTGCCTGTGGACAAAACTGACACTCCCCATGAATTTTCAGAAGCAATCAGTTTTGTACTGACTGTCATAAACTGCTTTTTTTTTTTTCATTAAGCACAGCCTCTGACACCAATTGCAGGCTGCTTGCAGAATCCAGGAGTTGAGTGAATTCGGCCGCTACACCGAGGGGCCTGGAGTAGGGCTCACTGGAGCCGTGCAGCCTCTAGGGGGGTTCCAAAAAGGCACCAATCCATGGTTTTCCACCAGGTTTGGGGAGTTCAGTCTAGGATCTGCAAAGAATGTTCTCTGTTGCTATCTTGACCATCCATCAAGGTTTCCCTGCTTGGTGTCATGTTGTAGAAGAGAGAGAACTTGCTCCATCTGGGATTTGAGGGATGAAAAAACGATTTCCCCAGGAAATAAGGAATCCTACAAAACTTGCCGCTTCTGCATCAGTCTTCCACACCCTATGTGTAGTGACCATGAACGCTTTTATAAATGGCTACTGTTGACCGCAAAATCAAGATGTGGCAGGACCGTGCCTGCTGCTTTATTGGCCTGTCACCCCATTTTATCCCACAACCACCCTTGACCTGGGTACTGCTGATGCGCACACCTTCAAGATGGTGGTGCTGTGGAAATCGAGCCAAGAAGCCCACTGGGTCCTCCAGTGGGGAGTGGCGGAGCTGAGATTCAAACCAAAGGGAGCAGGATGAATCATTGAACACTACATCAAAAACTAATGATATACTATACAGGGGCTAACTGAACTAAAACAAAACAAAAAAACAAAGAGAGCAGGAGCACTTTTACTCAACCCCTCCAGGTCCTGTCTGTCAACTTTCCTACCGAGCAACCTGCTCACAGAGCCTGGGGGCGTGGCCACATCTCTGCCCTCCAGCAAGAGACAGGAGGGAGAACCACAGACTGCATCCTTGCTCACCATTCCTCCCCAGATCCCAGCTCAGGGCCTTCCATGGGAGGTGTCCAGGACAAGGGCCAGGAGGAGTTTCAGCTAGAGCATCCTTAGAATTCCCAAGAATTCCAACGGGAGCTCTAAAAAGGTAGCAACTGGTCCACTTCCTGTCTTAGGGTATCTTCTGTGTGTTCTAATAAGTCCCCAAGAATTTGCCCTAGAGCAGACGGTTCTCAAAGTGTGGGCCCTGGACCATCAGTGTCACCTGCCAACTCCAAATGACTGCCCCGCCCACCCCCCAGAGCTGCTGAATCAAACTCTGGAGGTGGGCCTGGTTCTCTGAGTTTGAACAGGTCCTCTGGGAGATTCCAGTGCACACTAGAACTGAGAATCCCTTAGCGTATACACAGCCCATCTCCTTGTCCTCTAACTGGGGGAAGCCCAGCTGAGCTGGGCTAAGATTCTTGAGGATTTTATGTTCAGAATATGGCAGAAGTGCATCGAGAATCCATGCCATAATAAAATAATGCCATTGCACAATAAAGCAGTATTACTTTATGCTGTTTTATGAAGCACTAGCTTCCTCCTTTATTTAAAGTTCTCCAAATGAATAGGCCATTTTGGGAAATGAATATACTGATTCTCAAAAGATCTTGCACAACAACGTAATTACAAAATCCTAAGACAATGAAAATAAGGGGTTTGTTTGACTCCTTAAACACCTCTCATAATGCAGAACTTGCTACTTGTGAGAAGCACTGAATGCAGAAGGCTTTGCAGATGCTAAGGGTCACTGTCTATCTATAAAAATAGGAAGGCTGTTCTTGGGGCACCAGACCACCTCATCTACCATCTGTAGAGGGTAAAGGGTCATCACCAAGGCTGCCCTTCTATAAGCCAAGAGGCCCACATGCTTCTAGGAGACAGGCTCTGTGACCCTCCTGACCCTGGCTGACCCTCCAGTTGTGCTTATCCCCCGCCCCCCACCATGGGTAGGCTCCAGGGATGACCATGGAGCTCCTGGGGAGGTAGATCTGAGCCCAGGAGGATGGGGAGCTCACTCTCCCACCTCTGGCTCCAGCCCCTGCTCACATAGCCATAAGAGCTAGTTCTGGGCAGCCATGGCTCAAGGGTGTGCTGGGTTCCAAGTCCCTTTGACACCTGGGTCACCAACACCAGCCTATGCGGGTGATTCTCCCAGCCTCAGTGCATTTTATCTCTGTCCCTTCCATGATTGCCCTCACTCACGTTCTTTCGGACACCAATTCCCTTGGCCTCCCCACATTTTGTTCTGTCTGATAATTTGGTTATTGTGCCAGTCATGTGTTCAAGCAGTACAAACACCAACAGGATTGAGAACTGAGGGGAGAGACCTGTGGCCCCCCCTGGAAACATTGCCCTGCAAGCAGCACACAGCCCCCTGTTACAAGCTCCAAGAGCCCCTCCTCTCTCTTCCCTGCCCCCACTTGTAAGATGTTTGCAGAGTAACCACTGGACTGGCTGCTGGGCTGTGTGCTCCAGGAGGGCAGGAACCCAGGCAGCATATGCAGCCTCCAGCAGACCACGGCACTGAATAGGTGCTCAATAAATGGGCTTGCAAGAAAGTGAGCCACCCAATAAAGGGAGGCAGACAGAGGGAAATAAAGATATGGAAGAAAAGAAGAAAAATTACATTTTTAAGGAAGGAAAACTGAAAAAAAAGAGAAAGAATAAATTTGGGGTTATAATTATCTGCATGTTAATAAGTCCAGAAAAATGGCCTCTAACCTAGAATTCTCTAAGCCAACACGGGATACCACACGAGACAGACAGCAGCTGAAATTCATGTCCCTGTTATGCCATCAGTCGTCACTTCCCTGTCTAGGCAACTTGTTTAAAAAGACAGTGATGTGAATTATATCTCAATTAAAAAAAAAAAGCCTTAATCCATCTAAAACAAATGGACAGAGTCTCCATTTGTATGACTAGGTCATGGTGGACCTTGCTGGCTCGGTTCTCAAGGCTTCTGTCTCGAAGCCACCCCAGACCTGCATCAACCAGACCATCAATCACACAGGTGTGTTCATTTTTGGAGGAATTTTCCATCTCGTTTCCCCACTGATGAAAGGGAGGCAACATTCCTATTTCCTGCCCTGGGCTACCTTTCATGTGTTCCGACTCTTTGACACGTATGGTAGGTCAGTGACCCAACCCACAAGTTTTCTGGGTCCCTTGAGATGTGCTGTTCCTCTGGACTATGACATCTGAACTAATTCAGGGTGAGCTCTCAAGACCTCTTCATTAAATCACCCACCATTAACCATGCTGACTGCCCTCCCCGGTTGGGGCCCAGCTATCAGATCTCTGGCCAAGAGCCCCCGCCCTGCTTCCTACCCAGAAGGAGTCTATTCTCAGCTTCCGTGGTCTGAGGGGCAGAGTGCTCTGCCACACTGTAACTTCTCACCAGATCCACTGCTCCCTGGTGAGGCAGTGTCTTTCAGGACCCCATCTATGGAACAAAACCCAAGTTTCCTGGATACTGAAGCATCTATGTGCTTCTTACACAACACCCTCCATCACAGAATGACCCTCCAACCTGGGGGAGGACCTGCCTGAACACGTGTCAAAGCCCTTGGACAGATGGGTGACACCCTTGACATCTTGTGCTCTGGCCATGAAACATGGATAAACTTTTTAAAAAATGATAATAATAGTAATAATTCTTAGGAGGATTGGTGCTGTATTAAGAACACTCACCATATAAAATGCATCACAGGTACACAGCACTGTAGAATTTCCAGAACAAATCCACATCCACTAATTAATTTTGCCCTCACAGCATAGGCAGAAAGGCCTCAAGGTATCTGAAGGGGAAACTGAGCCCCAAAGGAGGGGTAGTGGTCGGCCAAGGCTGGACAGCAGTCAGTGGTTGACCAAGGGCAAAACCCGCTCCGATGTGAAGCTCACAGCTTCTGACATTCTCAAAACAAAGGCGTGGATATACACCCAAAAAGACCAAAAGCAGCATCTTGAAAAGATACTTGCACACCCATGCTCCTAGCAGCATTATTCACAATAGCCGAGACGCAGAAGCAACCCAAGTGCCCATCGATAGATGAATGGATAAGCACTCAACAAATATGAATATGCATACACTGGACTATTGTTCAGCCTTAAAAAGGAAGGAAATTCTGACACATGCTACAATATGGAGGAGCCTTGAGGGCATTATGGCTAAGTGAAATAAGCCCGTCACAAAAGGATAAATACAGTAAGATTCCTCTCATATGAGGCCCCTAGAGAAGTCAAATTCATAGAGACAGAAAGTAGGATGGTGGCTGGCAGGGGCTGGGGGGACCAATGGGAGCTGGTGTTTAATGAAAACAGAGTTTCAATTCTGGGAAGATGAAAAGTCCCAGAGATGGATGGTGGGGATGGTTGCACGACAATGTGAATATACTCAACACCACTAAACTGCACACTTAAAAATGGTTAAAACTGTGATTATGTGTATTTGACCACAATAATAAAAAGGGGAGCCTCTGCCATGACTACCTCACTGAGTCAGTGACTCACCTGTGATCTTTCCTTGCCTGATCTTCTGCACCCTATAGCGAATGGAGGTCCCCACCATCAGGTAGACGTCGTAAGCTGGGTTCAGAAGGATGTTCTCCAGAATCAGCAGTCTGACCTCTGCAGGGCGCACGTGCTTGGAAGAAAGAGGGTAGAAAAAGCGAGGTGAGGGAGGGGTGCTTGGCTGGTGCAGTCGGTTAAGCGTCCGACTCTTGATCTCAGCTCAGGTCTTGATCTCAGGGTTGTGAGTTTGGGCCCTGTGCTGGGCTCCGCACCCAGCATGGAGCCTACTTATAAAAAATAAGAAGAAAAAGTGAGGTGGGGTGGGAATGGAGAGTGGTGAAGGCGAGAGAAAGAGAATCTAGAACTTCTCAGGATGCTTAGGTAGGGACAAAGAAGTTAGGGGTAAAAAAACAAGGCAATGCTCAGAGCCCCCCACCTTCAGACCCCTAAAGCCCCGGGGGGAACCCTGTGTGTTCACGAGGCACGTGGTCAGCGGCTGCTGCTGAACCGTACTGAGCACATCACTTTACGTTACGCATGCTATAGCTCAATGTATAATCATAATAGTTACACAGAAAGAAAAGTGAGGAGTGATATCCATGGATACTGTGGCCACCAGGGGCTCGGGGGCTCCACCCACAAAAGCCCAAAGGCCAGGTTGGTTGGGAAGCCACGGGCAAACCTGAAAGTGGGAGAGACACATGTCCCTGATGAGTGCTCAGCCCTTTCCCCCTCCTGCCACGCCGCGACCTCCTCATCAGGAAAAGGCGTGAGAGACTTGAAATGCGAGAACCACCACCAGTCCAGTGCACCCCCTGGGTTCCCGGAGTCTGTGGGGGCCTGCACCTTTCCCTGCCTTTGACCTTTTGGCAACTCTTCAAGTTGGAGAAAACTCAGCAAAGAAAATGATTCTCATCCACAGAGATGCAAATACATTGTCTCAGGTGGAGGTGTGGTCGTTATCATCCCATGGATATTGACCAGTTCTGCTTCTATTCCTAAATTCTTGGGGTTCTCCTTTGCTCCAGCTATAACATCTTACAGGTTTCCTCACTTAATAGCAAGTTACATGGTATCTCTGACTCATTCAAAGAGACAAAAGCAGCCCTTGGGCCCGGCTCTGCGGTGGGTGCTTTCCAGCAGGGGGCAGGCAGGGAAGCCGCCGCGTATGGACGGGCAGCCGGCAGGACAAGGGGGAAATTGCAGCTCAGCGCGGGGGTGGGCTGGGCTTGGGCCCAGAATAAAAAGAGACAAGCAGTCTCCAAACATGAACTGCAATGCAGGGTGCTACAAGATGAACCCCTATAATATGGCATGTCCTGTGCTTCTAAAACCCTCCAGGACCCCTGGCCTACTGGCTAAACCACTGAAGAGTAAATCAGGAGGTGTTCTCTCATCTGTCACTTTAGAAATTCAACGGCAGATGGAGGAACACACCCTTCCCATGTGAGCTCCAGGAACGAGGCAAACGAAAGGGAGATCTCAGGGTTGTAGTTCAAAGGAGGCAGGGCAGACATGTGCCCACAATAACCGGGAAAGAACCAGGACCTCTCCTTTCTGCTGTCCTATCCCTCCCCCGATGGGTGCTGATGGAGAAGCAGGTGCTAGTGAGGCCAGAGCGACTTGGGGGGGGGCGGGTGAGGTAAGGAGCCTTAACCCCACAGATGGGACCACCAGTCCCAGGGCTCAAAGTGGGGCCCAGGAAGAGACAGCGTGGAGGACATTTGGAAGCCCCCAGTTTTTTCAGAGCCCCAAATGCTTGGATGCATCCCTCCACTGGGACGGAGGCGGGTATTTGTTGAAAATCAGCTGGTTAATGAGCATCCCACTGCTCCTGGACCTCCCTTGAAACTGACAACAGATCAACTACTTTAGAGCTCTGGAGATGGTACACTCTGGTCCCCCAACTACCTCTCTTGAAAGCTGTGGCCCCCAAAACACCAAACCCAACAAAAGAAATACAGAATCACACCCTGAAGTTCCCAGTTCACGAACAGTGAAACTTTCACGGTACCACTCCTAAATGTGCGCACAGCTGTGAGCCATGCCAGGAAGCCTCGCGCCTCCCGAGCCCCGGGGCCCCACCTTGTAGACAGCCTCCTGGATGCGCGCCTTGAGCTTGGAGCTGCCAGTCTTCATCCCGGACACCAGGACGGTGTCCCCCTGCTTGGCCACCTTCTCCATCTCGGAGATGTAGGAAGGAGGGATGTACGTGGACTCCAAGAACGTGAGGATTCTGGAAAAGGAATGTGTCATCAGACCTGAATGTGGAAGCAAAGACCCTGATGGATTCACTGTCTGTTGGCACCTCCTAGGAGGGGCCAGACGCTGAAGTAAGTGATGGCGCCCTACTTGGTGCTGCTTAGAAATGTGTCCCTGAAACTTCCTACATCAGAACTGCCCACCTCCTTGTGCAAAATGCAGATTCTTGGGCCCTGGCCCAGGCCTTTGTCCACACGAAGCCTGGCACTGTGCCTTTTATCAAAATCCGCACGTGATTAGGGTAAACCCTTCAATATGAGGACCACCTGCTTAGTCAAAATGCTTCTTTCACAGGTGTGACAGGTGAGGCCCACGGAAACTAGGAAGCAGGCCCGAGAGCACAGACCCAGCCAGGGTGGTGCCAGCAATGCCCACCAGGCTCCCAGGACTCCCTGCGATGTCCTACCCACCACTCAGGGCCAGCTCCTGCCCCTGGAAAATGATGCTCAATGACCCTCCTCCAGTGTCAGGAAGAGGGGATCACACCCATCTTAATGCCCCAGGGGTCGGGCTGTGGGGAGAAGTCCCATGTCGGGAGAGAAGTCAGAGGCAGTGACCCCACACTATAGGCAGGAAGCAGGGCTGGCTTGAGGGACCCTTTCCATGTGGTCTCTCTCTTGCAGCCTGTGATTTACAGGGTAGCCCGCCTTTCCACTTTGAAAGAGAGCAGTCCACTGGACAGGCTTCCATCCTGCCCAAGATCCGCCGGCTGCTGTAGTACACTGTGACTGACTTCCTACATGTCACATCCTGATTTTAATGAAAATCCAGGACACTCTGGTTGCAAAATGCCTTAGTGCCTTCGATTCTGGTTAACATTCAGCTCACGTGCAGTTTCTGAAGCTCAGGAGGCTGTCATGACAGGAAACGCACCTGCTCACACAGACTGGGGCAGGGAACCAGCATTCTCTGAACATCTGGTGTGTGACAGCCCCAGAGTGGGGCTCCGAATACCATGCTGACCCACACAGCTGCCCTCAGAGGTAGCCACAATAATCCCCTCGCACGGACAGAGGAGGATGCTGATGCCCAGATGGGCTGCATTCCTTGACAGAGGTACCAGGCAGGAAGTGACCAGGCCAGGCTGGGAATCCAGGTCTCTTTCACTGAACTTCACGAGACACCAGAAATTCCAGAGCTCATTCAGAAGACAAAGGTTGAGGGTCCCAACCCCCCAAAGACCTCTGACCCAAAAGGGCAACCCAGCTTGCCCAGTGTTAGGGTGTGAGGATGTCTGCCATGGAAAGAGGCGTGGGCTAAGCCGAGATGTTCCCTAAAGCCCAGAGCTGGACTTGTAAATGTGTAAATAAAAGACCAGACTCTTAACTCCCCACAAAATACTAATTGCGAGGTGGTAAGACAGTGACTTCATAGTGGGGCACCCGGGCAGACACCATCTAACACAAGTGATGACAGCGAACGTCATCTGTGACAGACCCACAAAATCATAGTAAGATGCAATCAGGAGAATACAGAAGTTCAGCTCTGTGATCTTCCTGCCAAAGATGCAAAGCTGTGAGTCTAATCAGGAGGGAATATCAGATAATCCCAAAATGAGGGACATTCTACAAAATAATTGGACTGTAATCTTCATGAGTATCATGGTCCCAAAAGAAAGCCCAAAGAACTGTCCTAGGCTAATAGAGACAGGACAACAGACGGCAGGTGACTCTGGCTGGGGTTTGCACTTCATGTGAAGGGATATAATTGGGATAGATTGGCAAGGCCTGAATGAGGTCTGATGACTGTAGGCATCGGTGTTCATCTCCTCATTTTGATGATATTGTGGATTTGCCAGAAAATGTCCTTAGTGGTAGTAAATGCACATTAAAATAATTAGGGACATCAGGTCGGCTCTCAAATGGTTCAGGGACACCACTTTTTGTACTATATTTGCAACTTTTCTGTAAGCTGAAAATCGCTGCAAAATTTTTTAGAGGGGCGCTTGGGTGGCTCATTTGATTGAGCGTCTGCCTTCAGCTCAGGTCATGATCCCAGAGTCCTGGGATCAAGCCCCGCATCAGGCTCCCTGCTCAGTAGGGAGTCTGCTTCTCTTTCTCCCTCTGCTGCTGCTCCCCCTGCTTGTGCTCTCTCTCTCTAATAAGTAAATAAAATCTTAAAACATTTTCCTTTTTAAATTAAGTCTTCCTCTGGAGTTAGCATAATGCTAAGCAAAATAAATCAGTCAGAGGAAGACAAACACCATATAATTTCACTCATAAGTGGAATTTAAGAAACAAAATAAACAAGCAAAGAGAAAAGAGAGAGCGAGACAACCCAAGAAAGAGACTCTTAACTATAGAGAACTTGTGGTTAGCAGAGGGGAGGGGAGTGGGGGGATGGGTGAAGTAAGTGATGCGGATTAAGGGGGGCACCTGTTGTGATGAGCAGGGGGTGATGTATGGGAGTGCTGAATCACTAAATTTTACACCTGAAACTAATACAACATTGTACGTTAACTATACTGAAATTAAAATAAAATTTTATAAAGATTATAAGGGAATATTGAAAAAAATTAGATCTTTTTCCCTTAAAAGAGTTTAAAGTTTGATTTAATAAGGCCTGAGGCAATGCAGGACAGCAGGGGATCCGAGCCCTGCCCTTGGGTCTGTGCCAGCACTGGTCGACAGGGCCTTCTGTTCCAAGCTGCCCTGTGCAACGTGTAGTAACCACTAGCCACATAGCTAATAAACAAGTGAAACATAGCAGTACATCTAAGGAACTGGAGTTTTCATTTTATCTCATTTAAACTTAAATAACCAGGGTTGGGTTGGGTTAGTGGCTACCACATTGGATAGCGAAGATTTATATAGATCTGAGTTCAAATTCTAGCTCCACCACTTACCAACCTGACAAGTGGCTTAAACCCTTGTTCCTGTGTCTGAAAAATGGCAAAAATGGTGGTACTAGAGCCCATACGGCTTTTGTGGGGATTGAGGGAGACGAGATGCCTAATAAACCCATCTCCTAAGGAGTCCAGTGCTGGGGAACACAGCCTCTTGCACCTGTGAGGGCTGTCACTGTCGGAATGTCTTCCTAGCCACAACCTGTCTCCCCTTTAACTCACCCCCAGTGGAGGGCTGCCCTCTGAGGCCACATACAACCTTTCCCAGCACCCCATGACAGCTTCCATTATCTGGGGCAAGTTTTCTCTTCCACAGCTGGGCATGCCAGCCTCCTCGACAACTTCCCACAGAGCACACCCCAGTGGGCTGCAGAAGCAGCAAGGTTCAGGCACAGCTGTGGGAGCCGAAATGCTCTTCCTTCAATCAGTCATGGGGAATGCTGGCCAGCATCCTGGGAACTGCCTGGGCTCCTTGCTGATCGTGATGATGATGATAAAAGTCCCCAGCCTGCATGGAGCCAATCGACAGCTTCCTTCCTGCTTTCCTGCAAAGGTGAGGTGCCTCTTACCGCAGGGCATTGTGGGAGTCCGAGAACCCATTGGCCTCCGTGTCCTTCACGATCGTCCAGTCAAAGACCAACCCAGCCAGAGTGCTGAATGTGTTCCCTGCAAGAGCAGATGGGGGGGGGGGGGACAGAAATGTATCAGAGTTAACTCCTGGGGCTGGAGGGGGAGGGGAAAATGTACTCAGCACCACCCCTCTGCAAAGCAGGTGTTATGCCTCCATTTCAGGAAAGGGAAACTGAGGCTTAAAGGGTCAGGGTCATGTGACCATGAGGGGCTCACCTGGGATGTGAACCCAAACCTGTCTCAGGTGAGCACTTGTGTTCCTCCCACGGTGCCTCTGACGGCTCATGACAGGCTCAGTGCAGTGTGTAACACCACCACCCCTCAGGTCTATAAGGACTTCACAGTTTAAGTGAGCTCCCGAGACCTGAGTCATTTGTTCCCTCTTACTCTCCCTCTGCAGGGGAAGAAGCTGTGGATGAAGGGCAGCATCTTGTCTCTTCGCCTGAATGCCGAGACTCCCAGGGTCCCAGTGTGGAGGAGATGGCAAGCCACCCAAGCTGGCTTTAGCTCTGCAGTCCGGCTTGCTGTCCGTGAGCCTTTTGACAGGATGTCAGGACAAGAGAGCCCAACCTGGGACCGGGCAATGATTTTGGAGACAGGACTCTGTAAAGACCTTATTAGTATAAGTACAAGGTCTGGTTCCCCGTCGACGCACTACAACGGGGCGGGGGATGGAAACTGGTGGCTCCGAGGCCCGATTACCTAGGAGCTGCAGATTTGTTTTTACCTAAGCAATGCTGCTTTTACAGTTTTGAATTATTTCCCATCATTTCAAATGAAGAAATGCAACGTATAAATCCAGCTTCCAAGTTCTCTTGAAAAGTCTACAGAGCCAACCTCCTGGACCCTAGTCCCTCTGGGGACCGGTGGCCAGCTCAGCCTTGCTAGAAGGGATCATGGTCTCGGATTTGCCACACTCCCCACCATGCCATGTTGTTTACCCACTCCCCCCCACCCCCCGCCCTGTAGTCTTCATCTTTCCCTGTCTGGCCAGAAACCCAAATAAGAGCATCTGGGGTCTAGAAAAGTTCTTACTACAGTGCAAAGGGCAAGGCATTCAGTGTCAGACGGGCCCCAGGTCCTGCCCCACCCTACCTGTGAGATCTCAGAAGCCAAACGAAACAGTGCTTAGCAAAAGCTGCAGAAAACTGGGCTGCTGTCTTTGCCACTGGGGCAACACAGAGTTACTCTGTGACCCAGCAATTCCACTTCTGGGTATACAAGCTAGAGAAATGAAAAACCATGTCCATACAAAGAATGGCACATGAATATTCATGACAGCATTATTCACAACAGTCAAAAGGTAGAAGCAACCTAAATGTCCATCAACAAATGAATGGATAAACAAATGTACTCTATCCATACAATGGGATATTACTCGGCCATAAAAAGGAAGAAAATACTCAATACAACATGAATGAATCTTGAAAACATTATGCCAAGTGAAAGAAATCAGACTCAAAAGACCATACATTGTATGATTCTATTTATAGAAAATGTCCACAATAGACAAATTTATATACACCAAAGTAGTGGTTGCCAGAGGCCAGAGAGGGGAAAGAATGGGAAGTCACTGCTCAAGGGTACTGGGTTTCTTTTCTGTAGTGATGAAAATGTTCTAAAATTAGCTAGTGATGATGGCTGTACAACTTTGTGAATATATTAAAAACCACCGAACTGTACACTTTAAATGGATGAATTTCATGATATATATATCTTTTTTTTAAGTAACTTAAGACAGGAAATAAAACAGAGTGGTCAAGAGCAGGTGGTCAATAAAGTTTTATTAGAACACAGCCACTATGCACCCTTTAGGACTGCTTTAGAGTAACAGTGGGAGAGCTGAGTAGTTGTAGCAGAGACGGTGTGGCCAGCAAAGTCTAAAACATTTACTCTCTGTCCCTTCACAGGAAAAGTCTGCTAAGCCCAGGCCAAGAGAGTGGACTCAGCGACCAGGCTGGAGCTACATACTAACTACATGTCTTCCCCCGGCACACACGTGTGTGTGTTCACACTCTGTACCTCGGTCTCATCATCTGGATGTGAAATGAGGTTAGAGCATGCAAAGTGCTCAAAGGAGTGCCTGGCCCCAGCGTGGCCTCAAGCTTGGTCATTTGTTCCCAAGATCAGTGAGTCATCCCTGCAGAGCCCTGTAGAGGAGCTCCTATCATCTCACTGCACAAACCCCTTCCCCAGCTCCCTCTGCTTTAAGACCAAGTGCAAACCCCATGTGGGACATGCAAGACCCTTTACATCCTGCGTCCCACACCCCACCACCCTGCTGCAAGTTTATTCTCCTCTGGAATAAAATGGCCTTTTGAGGTGGGCAAACACCATGCTCTTCATGGCTTGGTCAAACATCATGTCCCTAAGAAACTGTCCTGACTTCTGTCCCCCACACCCAACTTCCAACCTTCCCTGGGTTGCCTTACATCCAATTTGATGACAAGCAGCACCTACTGAGATGCATGTGGGCCCCCCTACAGCCTGAGCTACTGGGGCAGAAGCCAGCCCTTCCTTCCCAGCACCTGGCAGGACGCCCGGCAGGTATAACGGCTCAGATGCCACATGGCTCACTGAGACCCGCTCTGTGCTGCCCAGCACTAAGCCCTGGACACACTTCTCACCAAATCCTTGCAACCCCCACAAAAGCACCACTATCTCAATTTCATAAGCCAGTAAACAGTTCAGAGAAGTGAGGCAGCTTATCTGATAAATGAACAGACAGGAAGGAGGGACCTGACTGATCCTCCAGAACAGTGATTTTGTCCTCAGGGGACATTGGGCAATGACTGGAGATACTTTTGGTTATCAAAATTTGAGTTCTGGGGCACCTGGGTGGCTCAGTTGGTTAAGCGTCTGCCTTTGGCTCAGGTCATGATCTCGGGGTCTTGGGATCAAGCCCCACATTGGGCTCTCTGCTCAGCAGGGAGCCTGCTTCTCTCTCTCTCCCTATGCCTGTTGCTCTGCCTACTTGTGTGTGCTCTCTCTCTCTGTGTCAAATAAATAAAATCTTTAAAAAAAAACTTGGGGAATTCTACTACCTCCCATGGGTGAAGGCCAGGGATGTTGCTGAGCATCCTACAATGCACTAGACAGCCCCTACCACAAATAATTATCCAGCCCCAAGTGTGGCTACTACCCTAGGCTGGGAAATCCTAATCTAGAGAATTTTATTTTTAAGCAGAGGGAGCTGGAGTGGTCAGGGAAGATTTCAAAGACAAGGTGAGCCAAGGACTGGGCTTAAGTTTTGGGAGAGCCCTCATCTGAAAGACATCTGTTGCCTGACTTACTTTTTCCAATGGGAATCTTAACCTACAAATTTCCCTTTGCTCAGCTTCCGAAGAGGTCAGGCTGCAGCCAAGACAGTCCAAGAACAGATCTTCTAAGAACCCCAGAACAATCCTATATTGGACTCCAGTGAAGTAAAGTGAATCACGGTGCCCGGGCCAGCACAGAGATGCGTCGCAGCGCACAAGCACATGTGCACACGTGTGCCCTGCCGTCTGGACCAGGAAGCCAACCCCAGCCCTCAAAGCTGGGCAAGGAGAACACTCCCACTGTTTCCAGCGTGGTGACCGAGTGAGCCTCTCCCAGCTTCCCACTGCTGCCAAGACACCGGATGTCAGCTTCCCAAAGATGCACTTGACCCAGCACAGTCCTGGGCACAGGCACGGAATCGGCCTCCAGGGACTGCCAAATCTCTCATCTCACAGGCCCTGCTGCAGAGGCCAAGGACTGCCAGCCCCCGAGGGCCTGGGGGACACTCAGTGGTCTTGACCTCTTCAGTGTCTCCCCAGCACCAACTCTGCCATCCTGGCTGGAGTCGCCCTCCATGGGGGAAGAGCAGGGCTGGACGTGAGGGGACCGAGAAACAGACTGCCAGGGGCCCATCCTCACCTTCAGAGTCGAGAGCCTGGATCTTCAGCTCCAGGGGCGAGTCCTCCAGGTAGAGTTCTCGGGTAGTGGAGACTATCTGAATGCCGTGGATGAGGTCGACGATGGCATCACAGCGCAGGACCTGGCCCGTGGCTGGAGGGACGGGGATGGAGGGGTTGGCACAGAAAGCATTGCCCTGAGCACCACGCCACCTCCACAGTCTCATGGGTCAGGTGCTCTCGCACTTTGGCAAGGATGAGAGCCCCCAACAAAACCACCACCATGAAATGGAGCTGGGACAACCACATTGACCCTCAGCAGCCAAGCCGCTGACCAGCACATGGGCCTTCTGAAAGTGAGCACGGACCTGTGCGGAGTAAGGGCTTGGGGGCGTTTTCATTGCCCCTCTTGTACTTTGGCAAGGTGAGTAGCTGCATTTAAAGCTGTGCGCGAGAAAACTCCTCAGAGAGAATCCGGTTTTGTGACCATTACGTTAAAAGACAAGGATACATTATGATGAATTAGCATCCAGAAAGATAATGCTGTTCTGAATGCTTGTCCCTACGCTGAAATTAGGAATGGCACCCGGAGTTCGTTTGCTTACACTGGTGTTTTTACACAAGACCATTAACTGTACTGTAGAATGAAAGGGTTGTGTGAGCAAGCACACAGACTTTTTTTACTAGCTCCATAAATAAGATACATAAATGGCATTACCCAGGGAATTCTCCAGTATAAAAGTAACAGCATGTGACACAAGATCATCCTGCCCATTCTCCAGGCCCCGTAGAAAACCACTTGTGCACCGTTCATGGTCCCTTGTTAGAAAGCACTACATCAAAAGCCTTAAAAATACTCATATGTAAAACTGGGACTCTATCCTTGGTAGAAAATAACTTAACCCAAACTGTTCTCTGTACAAATATATTTATTTTTCTATATAACACTGAAACAAACATCTGAAAACAATCTAAATGTTCAATAGAAGGGGATCCTTACAGGACAAGCCCCTGTGAGGAATGGTATTCAGCCCTCACAAATAACCCTATAAAAATGAAAACTTCGTTATCGTGTTAAATGGAAGAAAAGCATGACGGAAAATGACATTAATTGTCTTCTAAGCAGTTTATCACCATAATATGTTAAATTAAACGTGGGCAGTAAAAGAATTGCAACAACTTTTTTCATTTTGATTCAATACCCATTGAGGAGTTATTTGGGGGACAAATAATTATTTAGAAATGAAAGGCAGCCTCGAAGAGAGGGAAAACAGGACACGGAGCTGGTGGGAAGGGCCTGGGTGGGTCCTGCCTGAGCATCCTCTGACCCAACCAGAGACAGAGCACGGCCTAGTGCACTGGTGGACTGTGTGGCCAAAGTCTCAGTGGGGTGTCTCCTGTCTCTTGTCCCCACCAGAGATTCCCACAGGGCACTCAAAGCTCTTACTGATGTCCTCGGCGAAGATGATGCTGGTCAGGCGGGCAGGCTGGGACAGGCGGGCCTGCACCACTGCCTTCTGGGAGCACTGCGCTTCGTCTGCACCCAGCGGCTCGATACTGGCCACCTCTGGCCGGGTTGATGACCTGTGGCAGGAAGGTCAGAATTTACTCTCTGGAGCTATCCCAAGAGGCACAGCTGGGCCCCGAAGCCAAAGCTGCAGTTCCCCATCCGGGGCTTTGTCCCAGACTCAAACACAGAATAGAGGTGGGCAAGCGTCAAGGATCTTGCCACCCGGGGAGAAATGGGGCTTGGCTGACACCCCTCTCATAAGAGCGTGACCCCCTGAGTGCATGGGACCTCCACACGCACACTCCCACTGAGCAAATTAGCCAGGAGACCAAATACATGGGAATAACCTCCACGTTCAGTAGATGGTCGCCTTACGAGACTAGTCGGTGGAACTAGGAATAATTCTCTCTCAGTGGGAAAACTGCCTCTGGTGTCTGGTTCGGAGGAACTGCCATGGATCTCTGCTGACCTCTGGGCCAGGCCTGGCTGGCACATAGCAGGCAAACCTGGAAATCACCGACTGTAAAGATAATAATCGTAAAGTCCTGGTGGGCCCGGAGCTGACATTAAGGTAAGGATGGGGAGAAAGGCAGATAATACATAAATAGACCAGTAAAATCTATGAGAAGCCTTCCCATGGAGAGACAGGACTTGACAACAACAGGATGAAGGGAAGGCATGACTGGGGGAGTGACCCAAGGTCAGTGCCATGGTTTCTCACCTATGGCATAGGCTGACGACAGTTTCAGGGTCGAGGGGGGATGGGAATGAGTGGAAATGAGCAGAGTGGATACTACGCCGAGAGCGCTGAGTGAGCATGTGCCGTTATAGTTCTCTGCAGACAGGGTGCTCCGGGGAGCTGCTGGGGGAGACCTCTCAGTGCCTACCATACAAAGATCTGGTGTTTTGGGCAAGGCCCTGGGGCAGGAGCAGCCAGCAGTACTCCGAGAACATGAGGGATAGTGCGATCTGAGGCCTGGGACTCAGGTCGAGGAGACGGACAGGGGCCGAGGTCAAGGAGATGGGAGGCACTGACCAAAGCCTGTGCTCTTAACCACCACCCCAAGCTGCTGATGGCTTTTCTTGAGAATTTTTCAAAATTTGGAGTCTAATCATCAGGGAAATGTAACTCAAAACCACATCTCACACCTCACACCTGTTAGTGGCTATTATCAAAAAGATAAGAGATAACACGTGTTGGCAAGGACATGGGGAAAAGGGAACCCTCACGCACTGTTGGTGGGAATGCAAAATTGGTGCAGACACTGTGGAAAACAGTATGGAGGTTCCCTCAAAAAAATTAAAAATAGAACTACCATATGATTCATCAATTCCACTTCTGGGAATATATCCAAAGCAAATGAAATCACTAACTTGAAAAGATATCTGCACCCCCCATGTTTACTGCAGCATTATTCACAATAGACACACAAAAGACATGGAAACAACCTGAGTGTCCGTCGATGGTCAAATGGATAAAGAAAATGTGTAACACACACACACACACCAGAATATCACTCAGCCATAAAAAAGAAGGAAATCCTGCCATTTGTGACAACATGGATGGACCTTCAGGGTGTTATTCTCAGTGAAATAAATCAGAGGGAGAAAGACAAAAACTATATGATCTCACTTACATGTGGAGTCTAACAGCAACCAAACTCATGGAAACAGAGAAGAGACTGGTGGCGGCCAGAGGTGGGAGATGGAGGAAATGGGCAAAGGGGATCAAAAAGTACAAACTTCTGGTTATAAACGAAATAAATGCTGGTGATGTAAGGTGCAGCATGGTTACTACGGTTAACAATACTGTGCTGCATATTTGAACTTTGCTAAGGAAATAGATCTTAAAAGTTGTCAGCATAAGAAAAGAACTGTAACTATGTATAGTGATGGATGGTAACTAGACTTACTGTGATCATTTTGTAATATACACATGTATCAACTCATTATGTTGTACACCTTAAACTAATACTATGTTTTATGTCAATTATAGCTCAACAAAACTAGAAAAAAAAAAAGTCCTTAAAGAAGTTGGCAGGGCTTAAGGTCAAGGAGATGGCAGGAGCTGAGGTCAGGGAGGCACTGGAGGCCACAAGCAAAGAGTTTAGATTATTCTGAGAGCAATGACAAGCCACTGGGGGCTCTTAAGCAGGGGCACAACCTAATCCGCTGCACACTCTACAGAGAAGAAAACCAGGTGTTGCCCTCAGGGCGCTTACAGTGTAATCCAGGACCCAGAGAAGGGGTGTCCCCTGTGCAGAGGGTCCAACACTCATTCCTAGGGGCTGCACTCAGCACAGTGCCCTGAACACAGCAGGCACTACCCGTCTTTGCTTCCTCCTCAGACCTTTGCTTAAACTCACTGGAACACCATCGATCTGGAGTATTCAGAAAGAAACTTGTAAAAAAAAAAAAAAATGCCTGGTGTAAAAAGCAATGGTGTGAAACACAGCCAAAAAGACATCTCCAAGTCTTCTGGCTTGTCACCGAGCGTCTCCCCCGGGGCCGGGTAGGCACAGCAGCACGGCCACACACACCTAAGGGTGCCGGCGTGGCACACACATCACAGACCCACGCTGAGCAGCTGGCAGCGCGCCCGGACACGGATCAACACCTCCACTGAAAGGATTCAGAACACAAAGCTCACCCACTGTCAAGGAAGGAACCCCAAGCCCCTGAGGAAATGCACTGTGGTCTCCCCATAGAGGGATTTCTTCTGAGGAAAGAGCCTGGCAGTGACGAGGGAAGGATGACAAAGTGGGCAGGAACACACCCCCAGATAAGGAGGTGAGAGGAGGTGCCCGTGGCAATGAGCCTTGCAGCATGCTGGAAACGCACTCCGTTTAGCTGCTAGCAGCTCTGCGACTCTAAGACAGTTTTCTCTTTTCCTTTTCTTTTTTTTTTAGATTTTATTTATTTGAGAAAGCATGAAAGAGAGAGCACGAGTGGGGAGGGGATGGGCAGCTGGAGAAGCAGGCTCCCCACTGAGCTAGGAGCCCGATGCAGAACTCGATCTCAGGACCCTGGGATCATGACCTGAGCTGAAGGCAGACGCTTCACGACTGAGCCACCCAGGAGCCCCTCTAAGATAGTTTTCAAAGCCTGTTCAACCACACACACACACGTATACACACACAGAACTGAGTCTGGAAACAAGAAAATTAGAAAACTCACACAGAGCATAAGAGACTAAGGAGACAGGACAAAGGAAGGCAATGTGGGATCCCGGACAGGATCCAGGAGCAGAAAAAGAAACTCCATGGGAAAACAGCCATGAAGTCTAGAGGTTGGTGACTATTCACCAGTGTTGTCTTCATTTTGACCAACGTTCCTGGTTGTGTAACACGTGAACTTTAGGGGAAGCTGGGTAAAGGGTATAAGGAAATCTCTGTATTATCTTTGCACCTTTTCTGTAAATCTAAAATTATTCCACAATTTAAAATTAAAAAAAAAAATGACAAGGGGGAATGGATACACAGGGAAAGCACAGAGGATTTTTAGGGCATGAAACTATATGTTTGTCCAAACCCACAGAATGTATGATACCAAGTATGAGCCATGATGTAAGCTATGGACTTTGGGTGACAATGATGTGTGGATTTGGTTCACTGATTGCAACAAATGCTGACAGTGGGGAATGTGCCAAGGGGACACGATATGGGAAATCTCTGTAATTTTGGCTCAATTTCTGTGAAGCTAAAACTGCTCTAAAAAATCTATTTCCCACTTCCCCGTTTGAGAAACAACGTGGTCTTTGTCTTGTTCCATGGCCCCTGATGGGCAGACATCAGGGCTCCCGGTCTGGGCTGAAAATACCTCCCCAGTCTCTGAATCTCAGTCTCCTCAAGAATCAAATAGGGGCAGCCACCTCTCCTCCCGCTGCTTCACAGCAGCGAGTTAATGTGAGAGAAGAACGGAGTTGGCCCCGGTTAAGCCGGAGAGGCCGGAGAGTCCCTCTCCCGCAGCCCCCCACCCCACTGAGAGGCCCCGCCAGGCTCAGGGCCTGGCTGGAGACACCACACCTCTCACTCCAGGCCAGGTTAAGTCCAGGTGTGGGCCTTAAAGCAGCCCTGTCCAAAAGAAATATGGCAGATCACATTTAGCTGTTTTTAATTGCCTTGTTAACAAAAGTAACAGATGAAATGAATTTAATAGACTATTGTTTAGAGCAGTTTTAGGTTCACACAAAATTGAGTGCTAAGTACGGTGAGTTCCCATACTCTCTACCCACCCCCCAAACACACACACTCCCTTCCCCGCTGTCAACATGCCTCACGGGAGGGCACATTCGTGACAACTGGGGAACCCACACTGACACATCACTACCGCCCAGAGCCTCCAGTTTACGTGGTGGTTCATTCTCGGGGTTGTATGGTCTGTATGAGGATGTGTACCCACCATCCACGATCTCACACTGAGCAGCTTCGCTGCCCTGAAAATCCTGTGCTCCACCAATTCATCCCTATTGTTTTAAGTTCCTATTAAAAAGCCATATTAAAGTAATAGGTGAGGGGCGCCTGGGTGGCTCAGTTGGCTAAGCATCTGCCTTTGGCTCAGGTCATGATCCCGGGGTCCTGGGATTGAGCCCCGCATCTGGCGTCGGGTTCCCTGCTCAGCAGGGAGTCTGCTTCTCCCTCTGCCCCTCCCCTCCGCTTGTGCTTGATCTCTAATAAACACATTTTAAAAATTAAAATTAAAAAAATAAAGTAATAGGTGAATTAATTTAACTAAGGATGTAACCCAACATATCCCAGATGCCATCACCTCGACACATGGCCCAGCTGCCCCGTGGGCACTCATCACCACATGAGGAGAGTGGTGAAGGCAGAGGACCGGTCTGCAGATGGACAGCCAGGCAGGCAAACACTGCTCCGAATTCACCACTTGTCCTGGGGATATCTTCTAATCCCTGCCCAGGACCGGCCTTCAAGCTGGCAGGCGCTGGGCGCTCTTAGCACCTCTTGAGAAAGTTCTCTCCCTCTTCACGCTTAGGGCTGATACAAGGGCGCTAGATGCAGCGTCAAAGACAAAGCAGCTGCCTGGAAGGGGGCACCCACTGCAACCTGGGGCC